TTTGAGTGTACTGTGTGCAACAAGAAATTCGCCTACAGTTCCCACCTCCATGGCCATCTCCGAACGCACACAGGAGAGAAGCCTTTCGAGTGTACTGTGTGCAACAAGAAATTTTCGGCGACTAACAGCCTGCACAGACATCTCCGAACGCACACTGGAGAGAAGCCTTGCACTGTGTGAAATTTGTACTATCTAGTAGCCAACGTAAGCATGTTAGCATTTTAAACTTCGCGCCTGATTCTGGCTAGAAAATTTTCCTGCCCAGAAAAGTAATTTCAATTTCAAACCCAAACACTTTGTTGATCTCCTTATGATACCATAAGTAAACCTTGGCGCTGTTTCATAAAACCAATATTTTTGTGGCACCCTCTTATAGATTTATTGTGTATCGCTGTTACATGATCGGATAGTTGTTATTTTTTGTACCAAACATTATTTTCTAATTTGCACTTGCCGTTTGATAGCGATTTTTTTAAAGATGATTGTAGTTTGAGTAAATGTGATTTTATCACGTTTGCGTTCGAGCGTTTTCTTAATTGAAATGTGCTTATAATTATACGTAGTGAGATTCTGATTGTATCATAAACTATATGAACTAAAATATATGAACTAAATTTGTAAACTTATATTATGTTTTCCGCCTTGCTCCTTGTTACTGTGATTCTGCAGGAATAACGCGCTGAAGCATGCACCTTGATTTTTTAGCATGACTTAGTATACGTAAACAGTTATACTCTCTACTAACTTGCTACTTTTCGCACAATCTACGCTTGTCTGGCGCTGCCGCTCACTCACTTATCGGGCACCTATCAGGCCGGCGAGCGCCGCCGCCGTTTGGAACACAGCCGGTCAGTCACCGCTCGTGTAGCACACGGGCGCATGCAAATATGGACCGCAATACGTCAGGAATTTATGCCCCGTTTCTATGTTTTATCTGCTGTTGCGGTGCAGACACTGCTGCGGCTGGGCGGGGGGCACATGCTATGTGTGCAGCCCGATGAGCCCCGCAATGTTGCGGACAAGACGGCCGGAGGGAGGGGGAGGTGAGGGGTTCTACACTATGAATACAAGCGCACACCGATTTTTCTGTGTTTTTTTTTCTAATTTGTCTGAGTTTTCATTTGATTTCTTCTGATTTTTCCTAATTTGCTCTTAATTTTGATGATTTTTTAAAATTTTAATGATTTTTTCGGAGGGTTACACTGATATTTGTGATTGCATGACCCGAGAGGAAACGACTGTTAAACTTTGTGTCAGCCGGATTACGGATTACCCGGATTACCTCCGGAGTGTCCTCCGGATTACGTTGCTTTTTCTCTAGGATTACCCCGGATTACCCCCAAAATTTTCCCGGATTACCCCAAAATTTCCCCGGATTACCACGGATTTTTTAGAATGTCCTCGGATTACCCCTCCCTGCCGGATTACCTTTCGGCTGTCCGCCGGATTACCTTAGTCGTTTCCCCCTCGGCATGACCCCTTTACTTTGGCGGTCAGGTGTAGTTACACTACACCTTACTCGAGGGGGCAGAGGGGGGCAGTATACTGCCGCTGCCGGTCCAAAGACACGCGGAGCGCTCCCGACTTTTTGAGCTAATCGGCTGATGGCCCGCGCATCCCCGCCCGCAGCCTTGGGCCGCATCCTAGGGGCCGGACGGCCCGGCCGCCAGGTGATGGTTTTGCGATGAGGCCGATGCTGCTGCTGGACTGGAGCTGCTGCTGCTCCTGGAGCTGGAGCCAATTAGAGACGAGCCTCGGCTGGAGCCGAAAACAAAAGTCGTCCGTCAACCTCCCATTTGAGGGGAGTGACTTAACGAGGTCTGAAGCGCGGCACCACACTGTCCAGCCGCGCGCCCCGCCCCGCCCCGGCCGACCAAGGCTATCCGAACCATCGAACAAGCCTCCGAATTTGCCCTTATGTGGAAATTTCGCCCCGTCGCGCTTGACGGCGCCGCCCGGGCTCGTCCCGTCCTCTTTCTTTTCTTCAACCTAATCGTGTGGGTCTTGAGCCTCCCTGGAGCCTGCGCGGCCAGCCTTTCCAGCGGTTAAGGGAACCTGGTGCGTTCGGTCATCCGAGCGGGGAGGGGGAGGGAGAAAAAAGAAGAAAAAGAGAAAGACAAGCGGCAGAAGTCGGGGCGGCGCTGCTCCTCGCCGTCTCATTTAGAAGTGAAATGACACAGTGCCACCACGACCCACATCTGGTCCATTTTCCCATGCCACATTCATCGCCAGGGATTTGAAGGCTAAGTCTGGGCGGGGAGCCTCAGGCGAGGGCTGTGGCTGCGCTAGCCGCGCGGCGCAGCGGGGGGCCCCTGGACATGACTGGAGTCGACTGGAGAGCAGACTGGAGAATAAGCCTTCGCCACAGCATGCAGATGAGCTCGGGGGCGACGCGATCACCACTTTGTTGTACCGCACAAGAGACGCGTCCGACTCGCGGCGCGGCCGACGCCGACGCACGCCAAGACCACCGCTACTCTTGGAGGCTTTGCTCGAGATCTGCTCTCGCGCCCATGTTTCCCAGGAGGAGAGGCGCACCAGCGTCGCCGTTAAAGCGCCCCCCTGTAATCGCCGGTTCTGCGGCGCTTTAATGCTTTGGAAGTGTCTTCCGGCCGTTTTAAGCTTTTTCTCCAACGACTTCCTCCTCCAGCCTTTGGGCCTTTACAAAGTGGGCCTCATTGCACAACATTTACATTTAGTATCGAGCGGTTTCGAATCGCGATGTGACTGGACGCTCTAAGTAGTACCAATTTTTCAAAAAAATAATTAAAAAAATAATTAACATTTTTAAATAGTCAGCTTAATCAATGTGAGAGTTTTGCGGGAAGGAGAACTTGAAATAAAAATACTTTGTTCCAGTTTGTTGATGTAAAAGCCGCGTTCGAAGGCGGCCTCTCCGCTCGCCCTCAATGGGAATGTGCGCCAATAACGAGCGGACGATAATGAGAAAGATAAATCGGCCGGGATCATCTTCGCGAGCAAATTAATTCTGACTCATCTCGGTGCATAGAGAGCGCACCGGCAGGGGTGCATAGCGCAGCAATAGCGCTGCAGGCTCATTAGCGGCAACAACACTGCAAAAAAAACATCACGGTATGATGAAAATTGAAGCATGTAGTTCTAATACATGTGGCCAAAATCTCGTGTTTACCTCGCTTACGTCTTGCGAAGGCCTTGTTTTGTTAACCCCCCTTTAACATTCCCGTTCTCGTGCAACTTCTTGTTTCCCTCCCTCCCTTTTTTTTATTTTTACCTTTTTTTTTGAAAGCGCACTTGCTGTTTGAAATTCCCCGCCTGCTGCGAGGGATGCACTTTGCGAGCGACCTGGTTGGTCATCCTCTGCGGCCGGTGTGGTCCAGCGGTAAAGAGGGCCGTTTGGATGCTGCGGCGCCCGCCCCTCCAATTCATTTAAGGAGACACATTGTGTTCGCCGAACTCGTATCGCCATCACTCGGCTCGGCCGTCGCCGCCGCCGCAGCCTGGACCCTCCTGCAAAAGCTCCTGGAGAGGGCGCGCCTCCGGTCCTGCAAACGGCCTGCTCTGCGGTGTGTGCGCGCGCACCCTCCTGCTGCTATGCTCGCCCCCGTGAAAGTAGGCGTGGCGGTGGTGGTGGGTCCGGGGCCCTCCAGACACACGGCGGGCGTGGCGCGGAGCGGCGCAGCTTTCATCAGACCGGACGAACATCAAGAACATCGCGGCCCGGCCCGGCCCCGCTCGGACCCGCACACCGAATCCACGCGCCCAATTTTTCGGTTCGGGCGGGCGAAGGCTGCTGCTGCTGCTGCTGGCTGCTCTTATAAACTGGGCCATCTTTGGCTGCCGCTGAGAGGTGTGGTCCCGGCGTGGTCAGCAGCAGGCTTTCCAGTGGTGGCTCCGCCCTTGTTCCACTGTGTGTGTGTGTGTGTGCGAGCGAGACACACACA